TGAGTTAGGTACCTCTTCCACTGACGGTTCTTCTTCTGGAGCCTGGGCCGAGTCCTCAGCGACCTTTGAAGGGCAGAAACAACTCACAGACTTGCTGTAGATCAGCATCGCGATCTCGTGCATGGCACAGGCAAACGCCGCCGCTCCGCCCAGAGTGCCTGACAATTCGATGATGATGTGAGTGAATAGAGTCCAAATTGAGGCAGGAGAGCCCACTCACCCACAAGTGTGAGCCAGTCGTAGGAGACCACTTGCGAGTTACTCGAAACCGCAAATGATGAATAGGAGAAGGTGATCACCATTCCATTCTGTGGCACATCTGTGGGTTTGATAAGGGAAACATAACAGGAATAGATAGGACTGTACGCGGAGAGCGTAACGCACCGCCTGCGACAGAAGACGATGTGGAGGCGTCGAAGGAGACGGCTAATGCTCCGTTGAGGTAGTTGTCCTGCTCCTGGGTCAGCACGGCCCAGTAGGAGGTGTCCGTCACCGCCAAGAAATTGGGAGAGTCAGAGGAAGTAGCCTGGTGGTCCACGGGGTGGTTAGCCAACGAGCCGTCGGGACAAAGCTGGGACCGGCTCACCTCTGATTCGATGTGGGCTGTAGGCGAGTACAGGATGACAGCAAACGGGCGGCCAAAGTGTTGGGCGGCAGTGACCCGAATCTGCAGTCACTTCAGTGAGTTTGACTCTTGCTCAACCCCCATTCCATGTGAGTGAAACCCACCTCCATGAAGGTGTGGTCCTCGAGCACAGCCGTGATGATCTCGCTCGTGTTGCCGTTGAAGAGCGCGCACTTGTGATCTTTGAACCTGCCTGTCTGGGGCTGCCAGACAGAGAACACTCAGTGACGGTTCAGAGGAGCGGAGGCCGGAGGAGGGTACCCTGTGGTGTTGAGCCGAACAATTTCGTATGACCACCTCGGTCGAGTTGTACTGCCGGCAGCTCAAGTCCGTCACACTGCCAACACAACAAAGGCCACAAGTCGGTCGCATTGCAACCACAAAGGAAGAAATCGCAATGTGCATACAAACTGCCGTTGTTGGTTCTCGACATTGGACACACCAGAGCCGCGGGGAAGTCCAG